TTCCCCTCATAAAATCCTCTTCGCATCATGGTGAAGTCGGCATCAGTGTCCACCAGCGCCCATGTCGGAGCGCCGTGAATGACGACCCGAACGGCCGACGCCGTGAGTGGGGACGCTTTCGAGAGGACTGGGACCTGTCCCACGGCTCCAGTCCGGTTCAGTTTTCCTGATGCGCACCGGCGCCCCGCCGGGGATCAGCAGCTCTTGTCTCGGAGTGGCCTCCGCCAGTGCTGCCACCCTGGAAGTATTGGCACCCCGCCATCCAGTGGCCCTGCTGCCCACAACATAAGCAGAGCGGCAGCGCGCGCCCATCCCTTGTCGACGGCAGTGAAATGGGGCAGCGTCGCTTGAGGTGACCCAATTCTCCACAGCCGAAGCATCTGACGCTAGGTGAACCACGGCTACGCTCGGGGCAATCTCGCTGAAAATGACCCGGCTGCTCGCAGTGGTAGCACCGGGGAAGTCGGCGAGACTTACTCGCATCAGTTGTCGTCTTCGGCGCCATTGTGATGGCCGATATCGACTCGTGTAGCCCGCGAATATGATCTTCGATGGCTGTGAGCCGGTTGTTGTCCGTCACAGTCTTTTCGGCTTGACCCACGGTTGCTTCACCCCCGACCGGGCGGACCGCCCCGATGACGTCGACCTCGCGATTTCGCACCGCCTTGTGCGAAATCGCCACCGAATTCTTTACTAACGCGTACCGCGTCAGCCAGAGTGGATACGTTTTGGTTGATTAACCTCTCTTGCAATTGCGTGTCACGGAGGCCACAGATGAATCGGCCGCACTGGAATCCCTCCATAGCGCTGTGGTCGCTGGGCAGAGCCGGCTGGGCTAGCCCACTCAACTCTCTGATCCTGGCTGAGAAGTCTTCAACAGACTCCGAAGGTGACTGGCAAACTCGGTTGAGTTCGGCATGAGCCTGCAACGTGCTTATTTGCCGACCGAAACGACTTTTTAGTGCTTCAACCACCCTGCCGTAGTCCTTCCGTGACTCTTCGGTGAGTGACGCGAATGTGTCCAGTGCGGCTCCGTCCAAAAGACCCACCATAGCCGCCAGCCGGTCCCGCTTTCATGCTCGCCGTCTGAGCTTCGAATCGGCAGAACCATTTTTGCCACCCTTCACCCGACTCGCCACTAAACTTAGAAGCTCTAGAAAGGAAAAGGGCAAATAAATCCATGGTAGTTTCCGGTTATGCTGTGTCAGTCAGGGCTGTTTATCAAGGCTTTACCAAATTTAATGACTAAAGTCTACCAAAGAGAACCTCTCATCGCCCAAGCGTATAATACTCATCGGTCCCGTCCGCTTTTCCAGTGTGAACTTGCACCGGCCGTCACCAAACTGGCACACACCACAGCACCCACTTCTTCGCTAAAATTTTATATGCAGCCGATTTACGTTATGGGTCCTACCGACCGCGCCAAAATATGTTAGAGCCAGGTAAAAGCTGCATATACTCGGATACTGTGTATTCTCTGCCAACCGTCAGAGACCGTGCTCAGTTCCCGGCGACCCGCCGATTGACCCCGTCCGGTCACGGTCGCGCCCTTATATAACCACGGCACAGAGCGCATGCGCGGTGACCGCGCGGCGGTCAGGCGGCTCGCCGGCCGGACGGCCGGGCCGCCGACCCATCCTGTTCCACGGCCCCACACGGCCGGTCCGCGGTCACAATATCCCAACAGAAGGTCACCCGATGACCTAGGACCTTAAAATTGGGTATCATCGGCTTCCTCTCGTGACGGGCAACACGCTCCTTTTTTCCCGCGAAGCTCTAGCTCGATCAGGGGCCAAACGCGAGGGGGGGGGGGGGGGTCGTACTAGTGATGTCAATCGGATACCAACTTTTTGGTATACCGATACCAAACCGATACCAAGTTGGTATTTGGTATTTCAATCCGATTGTTTTTGGTATTTTGTTGGTATTATGAACCCTTGCTAATGTATACAAGGTTGAAAAATCGGCAAAAAGTTGGTATTTTCCTCATCTTCTCAAATTGGTTCGGTTTCGGTATTTCCTGATGGTTTTGGTCGGTATTTAGTTTGGTATCGGTATTCCGATTTTCTGTAATTGACATCACTAGGTCGTACCAACACCCCCCCCCCCTTGTGCCGTCGAAGGACGCAAAATGGCCTGTGCCGGCGAGGTTTAATGTCCTCGGTGACAATGGGCCTCGTTACAACTCCGATCCGCGGCATCGCCTTCTTTGCCTCGCAAGTTCTGCACGTAGATATGTACATTTCCGCACATGAGCTCTGGTAAGTACGTTCGCATACTTTCTTTTGAGCTGTTCGACAGTTTTATCGCTGCCAGGATGACCACCACTGACGTGCACTTTGTTAACCCGCGCCCGGCTGGGGGTCCTGGATTTCCACGCCCTGCTGGGGGGGGGGGGTTGAACCCCCCCCCCCCGTGTCGGAGTTGAAGTCGGTCGGAGTCGACAGTTCCGCCCGGAGTCAGTCTTACCGACTTAATCTTACCGACTCCGACTCCGGAGTCCGAGTTAACACTGCATGGCTCAAGCCTCAACGTCATGCACTGCACCTGTTTGGTTGACGATACTGCGCTCGAAATTAGATTTTGTCGAATGCAGGCCCTTTTGCTGTTTTGGGCGGAAGCTGTCAAGAAGCGGAAGCTTCTTGTGCGAAAGAAGCACAAGACGGTGAATGCCCCAGAACCTGTTTTTTAGTCCTGCATGTTATTCTTAATGCATATTAGACACTTCGTTAAACATCTCATCTCCATAAAACATCTAAACATCTCCATTATGAACGTCAGAATCATGAAGATTTTAATAGAACCGTCCGGAGTCGGAGTCTGAGTCGGAGTTGATTTTTGAACCCGGAGTCGGGGTCGGAGTCACCCTAAAATCCATCGACTCCGCAGTCCTGATGTGCATCCCTGTGTTTCCGTCATATCTGCCGGATACTGTACATGTATGTTGCCGTAATTATGTTGTTCGACTGTTCTGTCAGTATCTGTATGACCAGCAGTGCACCAGTAGGTATTGACGAAATAGGTAGGGGAGACCCGGAAGGTATGGGCCCCCTGGAGGTATGGGCCATCGCAGTTTTGAAGAAGTGTTGCGTATTTTTACACATTTGACCGTGTGAACTGGTAGCAGCCATTCCGTTATACAACCCACGTGGTTTTCAAAATCTTCCTCAGTCTTCTTTGGCAATGAGCGATGATAAAGCGCTTTTGCCCTCTTCAAGTAAAATACTGTACATACAGAAAATTTGTGATAAATTTGAACCAGGCTCGTTTTATGATGTCAGACCAACGCTAACATAAAGTTTAAAACATGCAAATTAAGACTGGATAGACAATTTGAAGCTTTCTTGTAAGATAACTTGCTGAGATGCTACGCAAATTTTGGCGGCCTAACCGGGAGGTTCGGGCCACCCACCCCCGTTGGTCCTAAATTGCTAAAATGATGCTTTCATTGAAAGTCATCTTCAATAAGTTTTATTTTTGTCGCGCAAGGTTGAAAATTTAACTTCAAATTACATTCGAATAGAAAATATTATTTATTTTATTTCATGGTGCATGATTGAGTTTACCAAAATACATATGTGCCCAAGTGACCTCCATGAAGTAAGCTGTTGGCCGCTTATGCAGTTCCTGGGCTCTAAGAGAGATCAATGTAGATACCAGCAACGAGTATTGTTCTCATTGTCGAAAAAAGAATATGAAACATGGCACCGGCCATACCTCCCGGGCCATGGCCCATACCTCCCGGTGTATTTTGATGGATCGAAAAATCACATTATTTATTGAAAGTTATCTCGAGACAAAATAGTTGATCCCAGATGCGTAATATCAGGCACACTTTGGAGGCGAAAGGCAATTTCACGTGCACAGAGTGAAAAATAGGGTCCGGCCACTGCCCACTGGAAGAAAATTGCCTTTTCACAAAACCGGCCCATACCTCCCGGGTCTCCCCTACATCACCTATATATGAGAAAAATCAAAAAGTCGTGCTTCAGAGTTTTTGCCAAGCTGTTTCGTGCTAACTATTGAGGAAAACCAAAAGCACTGTAACGAAATTCATTCCTACCCCGTCCTCCACCTCCCTCTGTACTTACTGTCCAGCCCCCTTACCCACTAACAATATCCTTATATGGTCCTCGCTCCTCACCTGTGACGCCTGTCCTGGCCCACTTCTGATTGGTCTGGTGCTATGATATGACGTATGTACATCTGTATGTATGACGTGTGTGTATGACGTTTTGATATAGCAGCCGACGCCGAGCGCCGAGCAGGATGTGTGAAAGGAACATTCGAAAGCCAACCGCCGTAGTGGCCTGACGTGCTGTTGTTCAAAGTCTCGGCCGATTGTTTATCACTTTTGGATTCTATCGCCAAACTTACAATGCATGCTTGGAGAAAAAAAAACCGTGTTGGTTGAACGGCTCGAACAAGAGGTCCCCAAACAGACTATCACAGAAGAAGAAATTGTTTATTTAACTTTTACATTTGCTACAAGCACCCATCTATGCTTATTTTCATTTAATCTAGCTAGCCACTTATAGTATGTTCACTAACCAGTAATGGCCGAATCTATCAAATGACTGAAAGGGCGGTTGCGGGGGGGGGGGGGTATCAGGGCCATGCCCATCAAGGGGCCATATCATTTGCACCCACCCACCCCAAAAAAAAATCGATGTGCCTTCATGGGCGTATGGGGCCCTGGCTTAACAGCTTCCATACCGGTCTTCGAAGGTCCTACACTGACCTCTGAGGGCCCTTCAGTGGCGGTCAAGCGCCACATTGACCGCTGAGGGCTCATATCGACCTCTCAGGGCCCTGTGCAATGAAACGGTGGTGCTAGACAATAGGCAGACTTAAACCTTTGCATACCACCGCAATGTGTTTACTCTGGAGGAAGATTTGTATCTTTTCACGAAGGTATCTCCCCTTAAATATCTCACTTTTGAAGTGGATTCCTATCTCTGCATGTGCCACCCTCATATGAGGGGAAGGGGGCGTCTAACTTAGTTTACGGATTTCTATTGATGCAGGACTTTATGGCAAACGTTTTTAAGTCCGAAGTCTGGACGTCACTCAGACGAACAATGCACATCAACACCAAGACTTGTATTGTTTGTGAATGTTGTCAGACGAAAACCATTTCATTTTCAAGCAATGTTACTAAAAAAATGTACCTACCTACAAGAGGAAATTCGAAATCGTCAACCGTTCTTTCCACAAAGCCGTTAGCAGAGGCTGGCGTCGGCGGTGTTCTGCTGGATCCAGCTGGTGACCTCGGTCACGCGCGCGTAGACGCCCGGGTAGCCGACGTCGCCGCAGCCGGCGCCCCACGACACTACGCCGATGAGCGTGTAGCGTCCGCTGACGTCGGTCACCAGCGGGCCGCCGCTGTCGCCCTGGCAGGAGTCCTTGCCGCCGGCCTCGACGCCGGCGCACAGCATGCTGCTGTTGATGGTGGAGCCGTACGCCCGGCGGCACTGGTCGTTGGTCATGGTCTGCACGGTGACCTCCCGCAGCACGGTGGCCTGAGAGCCGCCCGAAGAGGTGGTTCCCCAGCCGCTGACGATGGCGTTCACGTTGGAGAACTCGCCGCCGGTCGGCAGGCACGCCGGGGCCACCCTGTTGGACAGCGACGAGAAGTCGATGGTGGTCGACAGCTTCAGCAGCGAGAAGTCGTAGCCGGACCCGGAGGCGGATGTGTACGACGGGTGGTCGATGATCTGCGCCACGCTGAAGCGCATCTCGCCGTCCGAGGTGCCGATGCGGTGCTCACGCAGCAGGACCTGGATGCCGCTGGCCGACTGGCCGGCGGTGCAGTGGGCCGCCGTCAGCACGTAGCGGTTGTTGATGACGGTGCCGCCGCACCAGGTGCGGCTGCCGCCCGTGCTGACCAGACCCGCCTGCCACGGGTACTCGTTGACCTCGGTCTGCACACCGCCGACGATGCGGGAGGCGCGGTTGGCGACGCCGCAGCACTGGTCGCCGGAGGGGCTGCCGGTGGCCGCGGTGGTGGCCGCGGTGGTGGCCGCCGTGCTGCCGCTGCCGCTGCCTGTCGGCACAGTGATAGTGCAGGAGAAGCCGCTCCTCCTGACGGAGCCGTCCGTGCTGAAGATGACATCCAGAACGGTGCCGCTCACGTTGGGCCCGGTGAAGCCGCAGAACCGCTGGCCGTTGACGGAGAGGAAGTCATACGAGCAGGAGCTGTGGCTCTCTACGTTGAATCTCTCACAAGAGATGGAGATAGTCTGACCGTCGCGTCCCTGGAGTGTATAGCTCCGGTAAACGCCATTCGGATAGTTGTCCGGGTAGTTGGGCGAAGTCACGGAGTAGCTTCCAGCAGCCAGCGTGTACGAGGCCCTCTCTTTGGAGTCGGGCTCCGGCAGCGGCTGAGCCTCGGACTTCAGTCGCGGAGAGATCTCCGGGACTTCGCCATAGGCCTCGCCAGGCGACGGCTTGGCGAGGGCGGCGCCCAGCACCAGACAGGAGAGCACCAGACGGAACATGATGCTGTCGTTCTGATATGACTGAGGGCGCAGCTTTTATACGGTCCACGCACGATCCCAGGTGGCTCGTGACGATAGCCCGTCAGAGGCGTTGACGCACGTGTCGCGTACGGGAGACGGCCGCGTTGTCACGGCTACGATGAGCATGTCGATCAGAGGCTGGCAGTCGGACATTCGCCACTTGGCGCCCTGACCAAAGAAGTGCAGCACATGTGGCACGGGTCAGCGACAAGACAGCCCAGACATCCGCTGACAGGACATCCATCAGAGATAATAGCTCTACAATCTACATATGAGGAAGCACCTAAATGCGCATGAGAAGCATATTTCGTGTTAAATAACGGCAGCATATTATATTCAGTGGTGTGTGTTTAATAGGTAGTGTGGGGTGGGGCGATTTGAACATAGTATGAATAACACAAAATTGCGGAAAATCCATAAGTGGCACGACAATAAGACCAGTGAGGGAAATTATCGTAACTAAAAGGGCTATCATATGAATGGGGTTTAAAGTTTCATGGAATGAATATGTTGACGCACACTGTAGAAAATCAATTTTGCAAGTAAGAACGCTCAATAACACGTCATTGCAACTTCATTGCAGCGCAAAATCTTACACTGCTAGTGCTAGCGCCCAATACGCAACGACTTGCGTTGCACAAGGACCTATAGTCTGGCAAACCTAAGAAAGAATGGATTTAAAATGCTGCGGTCATTGATGCATGTGCATTTACATTGTGAGAGCATATTTTCTCTCACAACTTTTCACACCAATTTCTCCGAGCCATACATTTCAAGTACTCAAAACACGTGCAAAGTGATTCAGGCGCCTTAACTCCGTTCTTTCTTAGGTTTGCCAGACTATAGTAAGTGACTTCAATCCAAGGAATTTGCTTTTGAAACCTGCATTTAAATATGACAGTGTAATCAGTAATGTTCAGCGTGGGCCTGCTAGGCCGATGATGCTCCTGACAGGCCTGTGGTGCCCCTGACAAATTTGTGCCCGCAACAGGCCCGTGGTGCCCCTGACAGGCCCAAGGTGCCCCCTGCGAGGTCTGTGGGGCCTCGGGCAAGTCTGTGGTGCCCCTGGCAGACCTATGGTGCTCTTGCTAGGTCGATGGTGCTCCCAACAGGCCTGTGGTGCCCCTGACAAGCCGGTGGTGCCCCTGGCAGGCCTGTGGTGTCCCCGGGCCCCAAGGGGGCGGGGGTCATGACCCATATGACCCACCCTTGGATCCGCCACTGGTCATTACTTGCAGACTGACTCATTTGACATCCATTGCAAAACATGTCACAGTAGTATGTTTGTCACCCTGTTCCTTTATGCCCATTTTTATAGAAGGCAAATCTCGATGACTGGGGGGCAATTCTGTTGAGTGCGGGGGTATTTGCCCCCCCCCCCAGTGAACATGTTAAAATAGGCCCTGCATACAGGAACCGCAGTGCAGGACGCATGAGCCTATCTGTTGGCGTCCTGAACAGAACATTAATTTTTATTTGGAACATAGTTAGGAAAAATGTCCACGAACAAGGTCATAGATTTTATCACAATCGCCAAAGCCGAACGCTGTTACCGGACACTGAGGTCGTTACGCTTCAAGCGTGGTTCGTACGATAAGGATTCTGAATTTACACGCTCTTGGAATGTTTAAAGGTATTGAGCATGGTACGCATTCTCAAAATTCGCTGACCACGTTTTGCATCCATTCACGATCATCTCGTCCACAGCTTTTAAATGAGTTTTTTCAAAATAAACGGGCATCTTAACCCGCGCATGACTTGGGTATTTTCCATAACGCGAGTGACTAAGGGGGGGGGGGGGGCTCTCCAGAGCCCCCGTCCTATCTCCGAAACAACTGGGCTGGTCGTCAAAATTCAAACGGCGTCTGATAGCCCTGGAAAAACTGTCGAGCGAAACCTATTTTCATCGACCTCGAGGTCACCGATGACGTCACAGGTCAGGTCAGAGTAAAATTATCGGCATTTTTGCTTGTCTACAATTTAGGCTCTGGCCGCCGACTTACAAGTCCGATCAGGCTAATTTTTGGTTTACGCACTCCTTGATATATACCTTAGATACCCTGAGGGTACCGAACTTTTACTTCGAATTTTTCAGGTCAAGGCCAGGTCATCCTAGGTCACGAAAATTGTATATCATGTATCGGTCACGTGACGCATGTTTTATGATCCATTTTACACGTATATTTTGAAAATAATGTCATCTGTGTCATTTGAGGTCCTTTTCAGCTGAATTTACCGGAGGTCAGGTCAATTCCAGGTCAGAAAAGTTCAAATTTTGAAAATGAATTTTTTCAACAAAAAAGGTCCCTATCAGATGCAGTTTTAGCTCAGGAACGCGATAGTGCCATTTATATTGCTGTACGATGTCAAAAACGTACTGAAAACTGGTTTTGAAAAATAAATAATAGTAAAATTTTGACAATAATGCAAATAACTTGGCTATTTTTGAAGATATTGGGCTAAAACTTGCTAGAGTAAGTTATCAGTGTGTGTTCTATCACATATATTCCGGTTTCTGCGACAAAAAAAAATTGGAAAAAAATCAAAAAATATATTTTTGTAATTGTAAAAATATTTTCAAAAATTCGAAAATTCGAGATAGCAGTTTGATAGCTACGTGTATTTGTAGTCCACTGGTGCAAAAAATGTATCTAGCTCCTAAAACTAAGCTCTTGAGAGCGTTTGCCGTAATTCAATATTTTGCCTTAAAATCGGCACTCTGACGTCATTTCCGGCCAAACTATGGTAGCTAGAAAGTTGAAATTCTAACACAAGGTGTCAAATTGATGCCGCTGAGGGTATGCAAGTTTCATGTTGATCCGTGAAACGGTTTAGAAGATATCGCCATTCGCCGAAAAACGGTAGGGGAGCTCTGTAGAACCCCCTAGACACCCGTCTTGGCGCCGCGCGGACCCCCGCGGACTTGCGCCTTGATGAGCTGAACACAATGAGATCATTCGTGCCGCGTGCGGCTGTACCTTTTTCTGTAAGGAGTTATTAGCAAAAAAAGTTGACCTTTGATGTCACATGACCTTACGGCTGTCCAATAGCAAACAAGACATTAAGGTAGTCAAGGACAAGGTTACTCATGAACGACGCTATTCATGGTATTGCACATGCACATGCACATGTGCCCTCGTGATGTTCCGTTCCGTTCGGTTTATTGAGTATGATTTGGGATCACGCATTGAACAATGCTGAACACTGTCAAACGGAATTGGTCGGATAAGGATTCACGTGTTAGTTTGCAGAACTGCGTCAGCGTATAGTGCCCCGAATAATCACTAACAATATTGTTAGTGATAAAATGTTCTACCGGTTGTACCTACTCTTTATTTAAAGAGTAGGTACAACCGGTAGAACATCCTCCAAGACGGGTGTCTATCTAAACCACTGCAAGGGCAAACGGCCAAAAAGACGTAAAACCTATCTCTAGGTCAGTCTCACAGTGGACCTCTGGCTTCATTGGACTGTCAGTGGACCCCTGCGCATCAACAAGGACGCAAAGAAGTCTGCGCGGAGGTTTTCAGAAGTAATGGTGACGGGATGGTGGCCTCATATGCCGATAAGGAGACCTCAGAAATGGCTTCCGGGACTCTATGTGAGTCCTTCAGCCCACCCGGTAGACCCCGTAGAGGTCGATGTTGAATCCTCAGATGCTGCAACGGGGTAGGTATAGAATAAACTGGAGTGGGACCTCAAGGCCTGACGCAGAACCCTTAGGCCAGCCCGTTTGCCAGACATTTTGCGAAAGTGTTGGACATGGTTCGTTGACGAACACCGACCGTATGCTTAACTTCTCTGTTAGCGGCTTCAGTGGCAACTGCACAATGCCGCCACTCCCAGTGATTTACACAGAGCAGCTGTGACGGTACAGCCATCTCCTGTACGCGACACGTGCGTCAGCGGCTCTGACGGGCCAATGTCACGAGCCACCTGGGACCGTGCGTGGACCGTATAAAAGCGGCGCCCTCAGTCATATCAGCACGACAGCATCATGTTCCGTCTGGTTCTCTCCTGTCTGGTGCTGGGCGCCGCCCTCGCCAAGCCGTCGCCTGGCGAGGCCTATGGCAAAGTCCCGGAGATCTCTCCGCGACTGAAGTCCGAGGCTCAGCCGCTGCCGGAGCCCGACGCTAAAGAGAGGGCCTCGTACACGCTGGCTGCTGGTAGCTACTACATCACTTCGCCCAATTACCCGAACTACTATCCGAATGGCGTTTACCGGAGCTACACACTCCAGGGACGTGACGGTCAGACTCTCTCCATCTCTTGTGAGAGATTCAACGTAGAGAGCCACAGCTCCTGCTCGTATGACTTCCTCTCAGTCAACGGCCAGCGGTTCTGCGGCTCTACCGGGCCCAACGTGAGCGGCGCCGTTCTGGATGTCGTCTTCAGCACGGACGGCTCCGTCAGGAGGAGGGGCTTCTACTGCATCATCACGGTGCCAACCGGCGGCGGCAGCGGCAGCACGGCGGCCACCACCGCCGCCACCACCGCGGCCACCGGCAGCCCCTCCGGCGACCAGTGCTGCGGCGTCGCCAACCGCGCCTCCCGCATCGTCGGCGGTGTGCAGACCGAGGTCAACGAGTACCCATGGCAGGCGGGTCTGGTCAGCACGGGCGGCAGCCGCACCTGGTGCGGCGGCACCGTCATCAACAACCGCTACGTGCTGACGGCGGCCCACTGCACCGCCGGCCAGTCGGCCAGCGGCATCCAGGTCCTGCTGCGTGAGCACCGCATCGGCACCTCGGACGGCGAGATGCGCTTCAGCGTGGCGCAGATCATCGACCACCCGTCGTACACTTCTGCCTCCGGGTCCGGCTACGACTTCTCGCTGCTGAAGCTGTCGTCCACCATCGACTTCTCGTCGCTGTCCAACAGGGTGGCCCCGGCGTGCCTGCCGACCGGCGGCGAGTTCGCCAACGTGAACGCCATCGTCAGCGGCTGGGGAACCACCTCTTCGGGCGGCTCTCAGGCCACCGTGCTGCGGGAGGTCACCGTGCAGACCATGACCAACGACCAGTGCCGCCGGGCGTACGGCTCCACCATCAACAGCAGCATGCTGTGCGCCGGCGTCGAGGCCGGCGGCAAGGACTCCTGCCAGGGCGACAGCGGCGGCCCGCTGGTGACCGACGTCAGCGGACGCTACACGCTCATCGGCGTGGTGTCGTGGGGCGCCGGCTGCGGCGACGTCGGCTACCCGGGCGTCTACGCGCGCGTGACCGAGGTCACCAGCTGGATCCAGCAGAACACCGCCGACGCTAGCCTCTGCTAACGGCTTTCGTAATCACGACTTCTCATATTTGTAAAGCAGTAATGCTTATATATGAAATGTGGTTATCAGATGCACACGATTGTGGTGCACACTGCACATGATTCAAAATAACCTTGACACTTTCGGCGCACATAACTTTGGGATGTTGTACACACAATGAATTGACACTAAAGACTCGGAGAGTATGTTTAGTATATCGTTAATACAGTTTTTGCAAGTCAAAAGTCTTTGCGACCGTTGTGATGTCTTCAGTCTGATGTTTCCTTTTGGCACTTTCTTCCTTGGTACTTTCAGCGTCAATATCCACTGTTCACTGTTCAGTCGATGAATGCAGTTTTATTTTATTATTGTTATTATTTTACTGAATCGAGCTCTCCGCATGCAAAGTTGCATATTGGGTATCAGCTGGATTGGCAATTTCGAGCTTTGCTCTTTTTTTTAACTTCGGCTTCGTACACTACACAATACACATTCAATCTTCTACCTATAGGTAGGCACATTAAGTGCGTTATCTTTATGTAGTTTTAACAACATATGGAGGCAAAATGAAATGTTTTCATTTCTTGTGTATTCCTCATAATCACGATGCGAACGTAGAAGTAAAACAAAGAATGTACTCTGACATACGCTTATCACACAGCACGACCAAACAGGTGGGTGGGCCACCGCCACATGCCTCGGGAGACCTGCTTATGCCGCGCGCACCACGGCCGGCTGGCCTCTATCCAATACGCAAGCACAGCGTCCGGTTTCGGACTGTCGATGGCAACTAAAGACTAGCTAAAACTGTGCCGCTCTATTTTTCACCTTCTGGAGCAGGCGAAGAATGTCTTACCTAGATCTTCATATCAAACAGATTTCTTCAAGCATAGTGTACTACTGGACTATGGCTATGGCTGTGACCCTACACTGAAAGGAGTGTCACGTATGGCGCTGCGCAAGCCAAACATTTTCATAAACTTCGCAGTCACTATTGCCGGAATCCTACCGTTTAACTTACTGCAATAGCTGCACCACCCGGCAGTTTGCAAACAGGAAGCAGGTAACAATCAACACTGCATTCATGAAACATTCTCAATGTCAATCAGTCCACAAAACGATATATAGGTAATGGGAACTTACAGCTGCTTCTAAAAAAATCTCACCATAGAGACTTTAAGCGGACGGATGGAAACACAGCGGAGTTACAGCACACCAATACCGCGTCAGTTCGGTCTGGTTGGCACCACGGGATGGCTCACACCCTCGCCAAAGACTTATTTGAGGTGATCTACCTGCAGAAACATACAGATCGGTGGTGCATTCAAATGGCACTGCAGGGACACAGGCTTCCGTCTTTGGCACATTATACAACACTTGGTTGAGACACACGCTGCTCTTTTCACACCGCGCGGTGCCGCTGAGGAGGGCTCAGGTGGCGGCCACCAGGGCGTCCAGCGAGCCGAATTGGTTGGCCGGCTGCCGGAGCTGGTCGCGCGCCTGCAGCAGCGTCCGACGTACCTCCCGGTGTCGGGGAGCCAGCCGCAGCGCCTCGTTCAGGTCCGCCAGCGCTGCGTCCAGCTGTCTGAAACACGTACGAAACGTGTTAACACACTACACAGCCGTGGGTAGCCGTGGGTGCGTGTTGTGAGACTACGTCAACATCATGAACTATGCTATGAGACATTGCAGTTCATATTACTGTGAATTTAAGCACGACAATTTGCCCTGACAAGCGCACAACAGCTAGGGCGTGTGGCGTCAGAATGTTGCAAACTTACTTTTGAGCGTGTTTAGCTTTTGCTCGGAAGAAGTAGGGTTCGAAGGCCTCCGGACGAACGGACATCGCCAACGTTGCCAGCTCAGCTGAGGTGTTGTGCAACTGCCAACGAAAACGAACACATGTCACAGTCCGACTGGAGAAAACGGGTCACAAATCACAGTCCGGCTGGGAGGAACAGGTCGCAAAAAAAAGAGTGACAGTCAAAGAGAAAAGGGGTGAAAAGGAGAAAACAATCAAGGAGTGAGTGAAAGCAAAAGCTTTGTCTGAAGCAGATTACAACATTTTCGTCTACACATGTAAGTTTTTCAACAGGAATGAATAATAAACGGAGCCCAACGACGACATTCAATCGAAATTTATGAATGAATGAACTGATACCCAAGCAAGATCATAGCTCCAGTCCGGCCGAGGGACAGGGCGTAAGAAGCAATTTGTCCATTAAGGGCCTATCAGGTCCGCTACTAATGCCTGAAACAGACTCTTTCCGCAGTCAGGAAATCGCATGCGAGCCTATTCAAATACATGGAAGCACGCTCGCATCAATCGCACGTACCTCCCGCAAGCGATTGATGCGAGAAGAATTATAATGTATTTGAATAGGCTCTCGCATGCGATTTCCTGAACGCGGAAAGAGTCTGTTTCAGCCTTAAGGCTGTTTATGTGTATTACCGTTGCTGTGTTACTATAATAACCAGAGCCTATCTCGCACACCCAGGCTTCTAACAGAACGATGGAAAATTATGAGAGGCAAGAAAAATCAAAGAGGGGTAACACACGTGTACCGTCGCGTGGACAGAGAGCAATGCTAAGGTGTGAATTTATCAGCACTTACACCTAGCTTTCTCTTGCACCGAGACAGGTTGAGCAGCAGGTTGACATGCAGTTTCCGGAAGAGGTCATCATGCTCTTCCATCCCGGTCTCTGGGAATTTCTTCAGGGCGTAGGTGAAGCGATGGTCAGCCTCTTGAATGCGACACTTCCTGTACAGTGTCATGCCATCGTCGTTTAGCTTGCTCAGCAGCGTAAACCTGTCGATCAACGCAGTTCGCCGTAAGTTTTCACAAATCGGGACTGAGCGATACCTGTTCTGATATGGAAGATGATAGTTTGTGCGTACTTTTCACAACGGTCAGCGGTTGACAACGGCCTTCTACGCTACGTAGTTGGTCCATGAAGACCTTATTTTACAGATTGCGTAAAAGTATGGTCTTCTGGACCTATGGCAACTCCCTGCGCGTATTCGGTATTTCTCACATGATATCTGGTTTTCCGTCGGCCATGGCCCAGGTGGTGGAGGCTAGCTTGGCGCCCCGCCGCAGGAAGCACTGCACCACCTGTACGTTGGCGCAGGCGATGGCCCGGTCCAGCGGCGTCATACCGCGTCGGTCCACGTGGTCGAGCACGGCGCCCCGGTCCAGCAGCAGCTGAGGACAGGGGGTCGAGAATAAATCAACCTTTCAATACATACAATACCAATTCGGTGTCTGGGAGGAAGGAGTTCAAACATCGCCAATGAGAATGCGCTCATTTACTCGCTTGAGTATTGCAAACACTGTGTTGAATCATGGTGCTTTGCTATAGTTCATCATTAACATGAGATCATATCTAGTGGCATGGGTCAAACTATCAATCGTATTCTCGTTTTATTGCGGAGTTCCTTTCAGAGCGTCCGTCTTCTATTGGAAATCAGCCCAAAAACGTTTAACCGAAGACGGTCTAAAAACTGTTTGGATATCGAAAAACGTGTGATTTCAATGACATTAAAAATCGCGGATATTGCTACCGCCCATCTCGTTTCACCATAGCATGTCGGTGTGATATATAACGATACGTGACGAAATGCTCGCGAAAAAAAAAAAAACAATGTAAGTGCGAGAAAGTGAAGATAGCAGCACAATTAGTCCACTTGACCATAGCAAACGGTCAAAGCCCGCTTGGTAACTTATATATTACGCCGGACAGTATCCGGCGTAAATACTGCCATCCGGCGTAAAGCCCCATTTAGAAAATTAGTAGGCCAAGTTCATTGCAGTAAAAATTTAATCAAATGCTGCTTATTATCGCCACCAGTGCTCTGCTAAGACTTACCGAGACGATGGCGGCGTCGCCCTGGAAGGCGGCCAGGTCGAGCGGCGTGCGGCGCGCGCTGTCCGTGTGCGCGATGTCCGCTCCTGCGTCCAGCAGGGAGCGCACGGCGCGGCCGCGGCCCTTCAGACACGCCCAGGCCAGCGCCGTCAGACCGTCGGCGTCCTGACGGGACACCGACGCCCCTGCCGAGCGAACGAGGGCGGTTATCAGGAGCGGGTCACAGCGAGGTTACCGAGCCATCAGCGGGGAGGCAATGCAATCGACACCAGTGGGACTGCACTGTTTATCTTAGTGCTACATAATTCCAGCATACCTACGAAATGTGATGTTGAAATTTTCAAGTGTTTTGTTCAACTTTAACTGCTGCTGTTACTTATGTTCAGCTGCCCTTTGTTGGGTATTTTAGAACAAATGGTACTATTGGTTATGCATAGGTGTCAATGCGTACTTACAACACTCAATGTAGCAACATCGGGACTCAGAGGATAAAGATTGGTAACAACGCGGGCAAGGTGTTCGGATGCCACACCGGCCTGGTTACCTTTGTTGAGGAGCAGGTCGAGCACTCCGGTATGGCCCTCTCCGGCAGCCAGCATCAGTGCGGTGCGGCCGGCCCGGTCCGTCTGCTCCAGCAGTGCGCCCTCCGCCAGCAGCACCACGCAGATGTCCCAGTGACCCTCGCGGACGGCGCCCAGCAGCGGCGGCGCTCCCTGCGAGTTGGTGGCGCTGACGTCAGCCCCGCGGCGCAGCAGCGTCTCGACCAGCGTCTTGTGGCCGGCGCCGGCAGCCATGGTCAGCGCCGTCTCGCCGTGCAGCGAGTCGCAGTCGTCCAGTGACACCTGTTCGCGGGTGACAATTGGTCAGATACAACCGTGTATGGTATGAGATCGGCTGGCTCAAAAACACAATAAATCAATGTTTACGCTGAATATCAATAGTCAACACAGCCAACACCAGGCAGCAAATCAACAGCATACCAACAGCAGAACAGCAAAGTGAAGAAGATGATGGTAGTACCCGTACGAACCTCTTCAATATCCAGGAGATACTCTGTCAGTTGGTGATGTCCGTTGCCGGCAGCAGCCACCAGGGCCTGCTGCGCCGCCTCTGTCAGGGCGAGGCCGTCCCGTGCATAGGTCCAGTCGCAGCCCAGCAGGAAGTCCACCACGTCCAGGTGGCCAGCGACGGCAGCGTGCACGAGTGCGCAGCGCCGCGCCCCGTCCCTTCGTCCGACCGCGGCGCCGTGACCGACGAGCAGCCGTACGGCACCGGCCCGTCCGCCGGCCGACGCCAGCATCAGTGGCGTCAGACCCTGGCCGTTCGGCGCGTCCACCGCGGCGCCAAACCGGATGAGCAGCTCGAGCATTCCATCACAGCCCTGGGTGGCACACAGACCCAGGAGCGGAGCACCGTCACGGGGACGGCAGGCGTCCGGTGAGGCGCCGGCGACCAACAGGAGATTCGACACCATCACGTTGGGGCTGTAGGCGTTCCGCTCGCTGACTAAGGCGCCGGAGAGGTCCGCAGAAGCGCTGGCGAGCCAGATGGCCTGCAGATCACGGGCAGCCACAGGAAGCTCTTCGCGGGAGACGTTCTTGTAGAGATGCGCTTTGAGGACATGGTGGCCCATCTCGAGTGTTTTCTGCGGGTCGAGGGGCGCTTCCATCCGACTGAGGCGCAGCGCTAGGCTGGCGTGACCGATCCGGGGATCGAGGAGGAATTTGTGACTTTCACTCTCCTCTCGGCGCACCAGCCACTCCCGGAAGGACGGATGGAAGAACATGTAAGTGTCGTCCATGCGCTTGATGAGGAAGCCAGAGACGATCTTGAGTCGGCTCATGAAATCGTCCCACGAGATCGCTTCGCTCGTGCAGCCAGCATTAGCAACGTCAAACATCTCGTAGACGTTCATGGGGTGGAGACTTGCGATGCAGCCGCTCAGCAAAGGCTTCACTAGCTCGTACGAGCGTTGTGTCGGGAAGCGAAGGTTGCAGTTGAGAAGGAACAGCTCGCTCAGACTGACAGGAAGCACCCGGAAGCTGGACGACTTCATGACGAGCTTCCCCTTCTCGATCAGATCCAACGTCAGCTTGACGAAGAGGAAGGATCCTTTGGCCAGGGAGACGAGGTGGGCGATGAAGCGCGACTGGCCGGATCCCTCCACCTTGGCGCCCACCACCTGGATGCTGCTGGTGATCGAGGGTGAGTTGTTGATCCGGAAGGAGATGTACTCGCTGAGGTCGCGCTGGGTGTCGTCCGAGTCGTCCGTGGGGTCCACGCTGATCCGCTGCAGCGGCATCCGGCTGACGATGCCTTCCATCTGAGTCCGCACAGTGACCAGCAGCTTCAGCCAGCTGGGGAACTTGCTCAGGTGGCGGGCCAGGAACGCAGCCAGGTTGTCGCCGTACTCTGCAACACAACAATATCAATTGTAAAAATATCAAGTCCTGGATGCCTTGTTTCGTTGATGACTAAGCATTGGTCATCTAATGCTCAACCGAGATTTCCGACTGGCTCTTGCTAGCTCTTTCGTCTACCGTTGCAACAATCAGTTATAAATATGTTATATGCTGTTGTATCGTGCTTGCTTGTCAATGACTCATGCGTCATATGATTTATTTTTAGCACAATCTAATCGGACAGCTGAAGAAGGACTTGGCGCTCACCTGGTTTATGATACTCGGCCTCGCAGAGGGCATCCACGACAATAATGCAGATGTGCGCGGGCAGTTTGCCGGTGTGGCGCAGCGACGCCAGCGGCTCGAGCACGCCGCGCTGCAGGGCGGCCGCCGGGTCAGCCACGCACGAGCGCAGCGCCAGCACCGTCTGCAGCGTCGGCGAGCCGAGCACCAGCTCCCGGTAGGCGGCCAGCTGCGGCGCCTGCACCAGCTGCGCAGCCAGGGAGTGCACAAAGTCCGGCACCAGACATGTGGCGCTGTTGTCCGACTGTCGACGAAATAGATGTGCTGTTAAACGGTCACATTGTCATCACACAGAGCTAAACCTGGCTGGGTGACTCCAGGAAACGATTAGGACAGTGACGTCACTGTCGACAACATCAAAGAGCATGAGTTTCCTGTCGGTATCATCAGCGCTCATCGCTTGATGGTAAGAGTGTATTAATGACTTACGTTTTCCTTTTACGTCGTTATCATACGGTTCCAAAAGTCAAATATAGTCAAGATAAGGACCGATCCCAGACAATTCTCTCACAAAAAGTCAATTTGATATAATGCGGTACCCCACTAAGCAAACTGGAGGGGAAAGTGTCAAAACATATCGCTCATCGGCTAGGCGTCCGCGGTAGTGTGTGTTGAGCCGCCAGACAAAAACCATTCTTTTCCGGATCAAATCTACACATGGCGGCAAATCCACATACAAAGTCCGTTCCCAGGACGAGCAGTCGGGGGCGGAAAACGGCGGTTGTGGACTGTACAACGCTGCACTGTACAGACTTGCAGAGCGCTGCATAAACTGCGCCCTGCACTGATGACAATCGATGGTCTGCGAGTTATCAACACCATGGAACAGCTCATCTAGCCGATGCTGTGGAACAGCAACACGTGACGTCTCACACCTACCTGGCAGAAGTGATAGGCGACCAGCCGGCCGCCCAGACTCCTCACTTCCTCGGGAATCACGCACACGTTGGAATAGAGGCCTCCGCTGCCCACAACCACGCGAGGTCGTTCCCGGCCGACCGCCGAGCCCACCTCTGCGGCAATCGGTGCAACGGTCACTAACACGGTAATGTAGCAGGGAAGTGCATTAGTGGTACAAGAATCTAGCTGCACAAATCGGCACTGATATCAATCAGTCGAATTTGCAACGTTATTTTCTCTCAAGTGAAACGATTTTTTGTTTTTGTCAACCGCTTCGTTACCGAATGCCCGATTGTCTGGATAAATGAAGTTAGATAATCGTTAATCCATCCTTAATCCTTATACATATCACAATTTCGTGAAATAAAATACAATGATGAAATATTGATGAACATTTTGGGTAAGATAAGTGCGCGGGTTCATTTGATTTGCTACACGTACCTGCGTAGAGCGGCTCTGGCCTGCCGGGCCGCCGTCCGAAGCAGCTGTGCTCGACCAGCTGCAGAGCAGCAGCCGTTTTCCCGGTGCCGACTCCACCAGTGAGGAGACAGCCGCGCGCCGGCGAGTCGAGCAGCGCCCGGCTCAGCTCGGCGAACAGCCAGTGTCGGCCCAGGAACAGCGGGTCCTGCTCCTGCTGAGGTACCTCGAAGAACAGCGGCTGCAGGCTCAGCTGCCGCGGCCGGAACTGGGCGTACCGGGCTGCCGACCGGAGCGCGGGTTAGTAAAACTTCGCACACATCAACAGCTCACAGTCTAGGACTCTAGATGATTCAACGGAAATGTCCGTCTCCGTGAGTGCGTGTTTGCGTGTCTGTGCCCAGGAGTGTTGAAGTTCTAGAAAAGGCGGGAAAATGAACACGCGTCCATTACGCACTAACGTCTAACTTTCAATAAGATCAAGCGTTAAAATTTGCGCCAATACACCCACATAAACCGCACAATCAATCTGCGGTGATTGACTGTGAGTACATGATAGGCAAAACTAGCTGTCGAGAGATTGAAAATCAGCATTCTGCATTCAGAGATTAACAGATGATAATGTCGCATGCGTAAGTTTCAAACCTGCTTAACTTGTGGGCTTTCTAATCTGACGTGTGCGTGCACGCTACGTCTGCCTTTGTATGTATGTACGGGTGAGCTGCACTGACCCCATCGCCGCATAGCTAGCGATGAGTCAAAAGAGAGCCTCGGGGTGTGGCACCGCTGAACAGTCAAACAGAGTTGGAACGGTCAGCCGATCGCATTATTGGATATACGAAGCAGCTACTGGTCTTATTGCTCACGAAGCATCTGCTCACATTAGTGGGTGCAGACCAGATGCTTACCTTATAGGGTACGAGCCAGCTGCTCCTCAGTGAATGGGATGGTCAGAGGACCATGCGCTCACCTTTGGGGTCGACTGGGGCGGTGACCCGAGAACAACGCGCTGACCGGCGCGCCTGCTGCTGCCGCGACCCAGAGAATCCACTGACGTCATCCACTGGTCCCCGGCCACCTGGACAGAGGCCGTGGAAGCAACATTAGTGACCCCGACTTATGCCCCGACCAGCGCGTAGACAGAGGTACTATAGCAGCTACAACAGAGACCAGCCCCAGGCCAGGACTGGCAGCGACAGCTACAAAGATCGACAGAGCGCTTCACAAGCAGTCTCGAACAATAAAACCGCGAGCCTGACGACTGAAGCGGAACGGTACAGCAGTTGAAGCAGCATTAGAAATTCATACCAATGACACTGACCACTGCGTGTCGCGCACGCTCCGTCTCATTCACGTACCGAGCGAGCCGCGCCGGGAGCAGATCAGGGGGCTTGCTGATGGGTTGGAGCCGGACAGCGACACGGAGGCCAGCGAGCCCAGACTCTCCTGACTGCGCTCCATGCGCAGGTTGGTCCCCTCGGATTCGCTGGAACCTGGACGTGGGAAAATGACACAAGTTCATTGATGAATAATTAACTGGTGTTTGCAAAAAACGAATATTGATGATGACTGACGGCTTCAAAGAAAAATGCTATGGATACTGCCTATGAGTACGGCAAATATGGTTTAGTTGATAGCCCAATATTGCCATGTCAAGTGCCAACACGAGAATGATTAGTCAGAATGGTGTTTGCATATCGATAAGCGTTAAGTTCTCTCTAAATAATATCATTGATTCTATGCTCGACGATTTGATAACGTTCTAATTACTTTTTCGCTCAATAGAGACCAAAGACGTCACGCTACAAACATCGAAAAAGCGTTATCTAACGGCAGACTGCGCTCGGTGTCGTCTATCTACTGACCGGTGAGAGTAGACGCCGGACTGGTGCTGGCCGAGGCCCGCTCGGCCCGCGGCAGCGCCGGGCTGCGGCCAGAGGAGGATGCTGACCCGCTGGAGCGGCGCCCCTGGGCGGCGTCCGGGCCGAGCAGCAGGCCCAGGCGCGCGTACAGAGCCGAGTCCTCGGCACAGGCCACCTCATCGTCCGTGTCTGAAATACGGGGGAGCGAGGGGTGAGTGAATGATAAAGAGTGATATATAGAAAAAGGAGGGCGACAGAAAATAGATAAATAGATATGAGAAGAAAAAGAGAGGTGAGACGAAGAAGGAAATATACACACTCAGTGCGAACGTGTGCACTCAAATGAAAAGAACAGACACATTACAATGACAATTGGAATAAGGGAAGGAAAGGGATAGAAAGAGGGACAGCTAGAGAAACAAGGGGAGAGAGAGAGAGAGAGAGAGAGAGAGAGAGAGAGAGAGAGAGAGAGAGAGGAGAGAGAGAGAGGGGAGAGGGAGAGGGAGAGAGAGAGAGAGAGAGAGAGAGAGAGAGAGAGAGAGAGAGAGAGAGAGAGAGAGAGAGAGAGAGAGAGAGAGAGAGAGAGAGAGAGAGAGAGAGAGAGAGAGAGAGAGAGAGAGAGAGAGAGAGAGAGAGAGAGAGAGAGAGAGAGAGAGAGAGAGAGAGAGAGAGAGATGAGACTTAAAAGTGAGAGCGAAGTGCGTCGTCAATCGTCACGCCACAAACCGACCACACTCAAGCGGGCACACGGAACAGTGCAAGGCTCGTGTTCGTCCACTTGCAATGATCTATCGGACAACTTTCGAACATACACCTTACACCATCACTTACAGATCAGATCGCACCTCGCTGTGCTTGGAACGGAACTGAGATCGCACCGATAGGCATCTCTGACACGAGTGCAGGATAGGGCGACACAGTGATACGCAAGCCGCTGCAACTGGCAGCGCTGGTGCAAATCGTATCAGAAAGCATACTTTGCCGGTGTAAGGTGGATAAAGTGGACAGTGGAGACAGATTGTGGTGATTTCAGCGGCTGGCAGCCGTAACTGACAAGACAATGTGACAGATGATGTATTGAACCTAACCTAGAAGTGAACAGACTATAGGCTGTATTTACTTGGTGGATCCGGGTTTAGCCGTCAGGGCCTGCTAATACCATCACCAGCAGTCTATTATATTGCATTGGATAGAATGGATAGCTAATAAATGATGACGAGTGACACGATACATGAATCTGCAATCAGCCTGTCAGCTCTAAAACCGACGACAACCGGAGATAGAGGCACGTCATGAGCTTATGTCTACTCCTTACCAAAACCCTGCGTCTCTCCTAACATGCACGAAGGTCGGACAACACAAAAGGCTACCGGTTTCGTGCCATCGCCCATCAACCCCGGATATGATTCACCCACTGTATTTACACTCAGCTGCGGCCTCAAGCCAAAAGGGTCTGCCGATGCTGTTCCCAGGTCATAAGTGGCTTCGACGATTGCATGACACTCGGCGCTGACCGGGGAGGTCTATTTTGGTGTGCCGATGCTGCTGCTGACGTCATGACAAAAGTAGACAGTAGACAGCCGCCTTTTCACGGCACCTCTGCCTGTGGTCCCGCGCACCTTATCTAGAGGCCGACCGGAAGGTCTTTGCTGGGTGTGGACGATCTGGCCTGTGCATTCTAGGATCGACACAGAGGCCTTGCCCGAGGCTGGAATGTTCAGGGTGTGTCGCCAACCACTGAGTCAGGCACTCTGAGACGTTACCCGAGTCGCAAGTCTTCTCTGAACCACCCTCTCAGTATTGATGGAATGCATGCTGGCAAGTGGCAAGAACCTCCCTTTGCCAAAGAGCGCCCTCTTGGTGTACATACCAGAAGAGAAGTAGGCCGCACACAAATGACTAATGCACTTCCGTTTGGCTTATGAATGATAGTCGTTGACCTCACAGAGTACTTACTTAAGCGTGGGCGTCAATGCGCAACCGCCATCGAGAAATCGCAACCACTTGAGCCCACAAGTGCCTTTATCAATGCTGGGAATCCTTCCTAGCAGGTTGCTCAACTCCTTTGAACTCGCACTCGATAATCATAACAGGTGAGGTATCGAGTTCAGGCATTAGCGGACTGAGCTAGTGTTTCCGGTATATGTGTTCGGGCTTGGCCATGGGTAGTAGTTATCCGTTGAACAGGTCAGCGACTCCAGTTTACCAGCGGAGCAGACACGCCAGGTCACCCGATGAACGTCACTGGCACTAAATCTGCGCACTACTGCTATACCATGGGCTGACCCGACATCGCACCTGCGTCAGATCGGAAATCTTCCAGCACCGTCCTACGCTGCGTGTGCGTGCGACGTGCGGACATGCCCTTTGCCAGGCTCGCCTGTCGCTGTCAAACTTCAGTCCTGTCGTTCGATGTCATGCAGACGGTGGAGTCATGTCGCTGTCAAACAGGTTCTCTGGCCAGACGTCTCCGAGATTGCCAATTCAAATGTGCCGGGCGGAATGCAGCGCGCGCCATATTTGGACCGAGGCTCCACGTCCGGTGGCGGTGACGGTGGTGGCAGTGGCAGGGACGGCCCAACTGGTGACAATGCCAGTGATGCCGGAATGAAAGGAATGAGTAGGAGTCCATGGTTTGATGGTTGCATGTTGAAATGTGAGCAATTCACTCCGACAATCAACATAGCTTCGCCAAACTTCCTCAGATGCACGGGAAAAGGAATGCTGACTAGGATGAGAATGAATCGGCCCATATCAGATGCACAGTCCAGCCGCGAGGCAGCCCACCGATGCCAGACATACCCCGTGTGTCAGCCAGACGGAAGCGAGATCTTATCTTACGGCACGACACGCGACACGTGACACAATGCACGTATGACACAATGCGGATGACGGCTATGTGAAGACACCGACACCGTGGGTAGACCCAGAGGACATCGAACAGGCCGAACCACGGGAAATTCGACCGGTGATGCCGGAAGACACTGCAGCGGATGGATAAGATATTGGAGCGGTAGAGCAAGATGACATCGGAGCGGTTTGACAAGAGAGCCTTGGAGCACACCAATCGAAGAAGTCAGCCACCCATTCAGATACGCCACTCTACTTGCGCTTGGGTAGAGTTGGCTGACTTACTGAAAAGATGATTCTTGATGATGCATCAAGCTTTGATGCCCGTAAGGTAAGCGCCTGAGCCCTGAGGCGTTACCAGAACCCCGTATCAGTTTGCTGGTCAAATGTGAGTGATTTGGGAATTGCGTCTCTCTATCAATCTTTGTCAATTTTATCTGAACAGGAGCGCACTCATGTCGTATTTGTGCATATGTAAGCGGCCTGAGACAGTGTGAAGTGTGAAATGCGCGGTCATTGACTCACCAAGCGGGCAAAGAGTACTTTCGCTAAACGCAACTCATTACTCAGCCATCACCTCACGCATGGAAAACTTTCATTTCCTGCCAACGCATGCAAACAAGGTGTTTGATTTTTGTACTGCGAACAAGATCTTGACAGCTAGTCCAGTCACGACATGTTTAGACAAAGTCACGTCACACCATGCTGAGGGCTCGTACTAAGATTACCGTTAGAAACTCACACGTCAGGTGTCACGAGGCGGTCCTGCCAAGTCTGCCGTGTACTCCGCCTTGATTTTTACTGCTAGTTCGGCGTGCAAATCTCTAGCCACAATCTGAATCCAATGCCTATATTTTTCATTCATTTAACTTACAGCGGCCCCGCACCTGATGGATTTAAAGTTCAAGCGAGTTTGACGTGCACATATCACTGTATCCTTGATTGTGACTGGCACATAGAGAAGTCCATACGTCATCATTCATGCCCACGAGTTTTCTCTCCTCATCCTGGTCACTATTTGCAGTACCTGCGTGCACCGGTCTAGCCGGGCCCGTTCTATTGACAGAGCACATTAAACCCCCACACGACGTGGTGACCCGGAGTGCTGTTGATTCAACGTTCCACCACACCTTAGTACCCGTCCAGTCGACAGCTTTGGTCTCTCCCGATATAGCCATGAGTACGTACAGTGGGTCTATTTAAGATCTCCAGAGCCACCACGTGGCGCTACGGTCGGGGTAGGGCGAGTCCAAATCCCGAGGGAAGTGAGGTCACCGGTCATTGTGGGGGAAGGAGGGGGGGGGGGTAACGCGGTATCACGGCGCATGGGGCGTGCCTAGCGCCGGGAGTGGGCCGCCCAGGGCCGCCCGCCACTGCGCCGAGGCTGAGGGGAGGGGATGATGGTTGCGGGTGCGTTCACTCCGGTATGGTGGTATCCTGTTCATGTGGAACCAGCAAGAATGCGACTGAAGGGAATCATTATCTCAAACAAACGGGCAAGCCAGAGGCAGCGTCAGTTCCAGCCAAAATGTTGAACAATGATAGGTAATTGAAATCTAGGACGCATTCATAGCATGCAACTATTCAGTCGATAGTTGCATGATGCTTTTCATGATGCATGATGAGGCTGTTCTAAACTGTTATTTGAGTTAGATATTTTTCATTTGGCACGTTCAGTTTTGGTGGGTTTTATCGGGCCGAAAAGAATCAGAAAAGAAAAAGATTTGAAACGGCTCCAGAAAAATGTCCAAAAATATTTTCTTAAAAATGAAACTTTGCTAAACATTTATAAGCGATAATTTTGACTTTTTGAGAGGATATTGGGGACAAATATTGGGGAAAGACGTCATCGTGCTTATCTGTGTTGCAGTAGAAGGAAAGGTTTTGGTTCGTGTCGAGATAAAAACAGACCCGGGAGTGAGGCTCGAACTCACGACATCGCATTCAGCCCACAGGTTGCCCAGCCTCAGCGCTACGAGCACCTATCGCCCTGCGCAGCTTGCTCAGTGTTTCGGCTAGAGTTCGGCCAAGTGTCTGACGTCTGTCAATGTCACAAGGCTAAACCGCAAGGTAAATGTCCGTCCCGGTAGCTCGGTCGGTAGAGCGTTGGACTCCATGTGCCATGTGGTGAGAGCGCACGTCCCGGTTGCAAAAGTCCGGGTTCGAACGCGACGTGTATTTGATGTTTTTGAGCCTCCTGACGAGTATGGTTGTGATTGGTGGCAGGCCGCTGCCAGGCGAAGTCAGTGAGGGGACCGGCCGTGCGCGGCTATGTGCGCACGTTAAAATTTGGACTCTAATTCTGCCATAGACCAGGAATTGCTTGATCGGAGGGTAGAGAGCAGGGTCAACGCAACAAGCTCAGCTTAGCGGGGACTCTGTCCTTGTGATTCCTTTCATTCAAAAGGTTCGGGCCAATTTAATATTAAACGCGCACCGACTTCGCACCGACGGGGGGGTGGATGACCGCCCCCCTGAGATCTCGAGAACGAAGCAAGATAGCGACAAGCGGTAAACGGCATCGGATACGCACGGACAAGGTCTACAATTTTTACTAAGGTCATTTTCAGGTCAGGTCAAAGATGACGTCACAGGGGTCGAAAAAGTCAAAATGGTGGCGCTTGATATGGATAGTTTTTCTCGAATAACTTTCGAACTAGTCAAGATAGGAACAAACTAAGGGCATCATCGTGATCCTCTCGTCAATCCGCATCGAATGATATATCTGTTGACCTCGAAAGGTCAAGGTCAAAGGTTGACCTCAGGTCACGTAACCTCGAGGTCATCATGTATATTATTCGATGCGTCTTGACGAGCTGAACACAATGAGACCATCCGCGCGGCTGTATCTTGTTCCTGTACGGAGTTATTGGCAAAAAACCGCTGGTGACCTTTGATGACGTCACATGACCTTACAGCTGCCCAACAGCAAAACAGACCTCAAGGTAGTGAAGGTTGATCGTATATGAAGTCATGTATGGTATTTGGGGCTATTCCGACCCGTTTTAGTGGTAAAAACAGGGAGTTGATTTTTCCCCCAGGCCCATTGACTTATAATGGGGAGGTCGCGAAATTGACCTGACCTTAGGTCACCGACATCAAAATTCCGAGATATACAAATTGTAGCTACTAATGATCTAATAACATCCTGCGACTTTCAAAGGCCTCCGACATCTACTGTAGCTCTGGCACGGTGACAAAGTTACAAAAAAGTGACTTGAGGCTGGGTCATTCAAAGTGACCTGGTGACTTGACCTTAAAAGTTGGGGGGTTAAAACTTGCACACCATGTGTAAAATTGATGAATGAGAGAATAGTCGTACCAAATTTCGCGGCGCGTAGGCGCCGCGGTTTTCCCGCTATCCGCGAAAAACCTCAGGGGGGGGGGGGGCGGATATCCGCCCCCCCTGAGGTTTTTCGCGGGTTGAACCCTGTCGGTGCGCGGGTTAAAAAAGGGGGAGCCGAACCAGGTTGGGCCGGGTTGAACCCGGTCGGACCGGCGCGGTGTCTTACACGCAATCATGGTCAGACAAAACAGAGGCTAATTTCGGGTCAAATAGTTTTATTAACTGTTCTTATTGTTTTTAGCGTACACGCATATTAACTTTTAGTTTTTTTTTTAACCCGAGAATTCATGCACAAAAATGTGGCATTCGTCTACTTTTCCTCATCTTCTCTTAGCGACTTGATTTGACCTTAAAGCTTACCAGTAAAAAAAAATCACCTGCGTGATAATTATTTGCCAAAGGGCGCTCTACGCAAGAAACGCCAGCCGGTCAAAAAACTGGCGAACGATACGATCTTTCTATTGCTTGAATATTATTCAATGCAAATTTCAGGAGACATAAATAACATTAAACCTTATAGATACTGGGTGCCCGGAGCATTCGTTAGCATTCCATTGCCAGCTGCATTAGCAACATCACATTTGCATTACTTTGGGTTCATCATAATTGACAGTAGATGAATCGGCCACAGCAAACCCATGCCTCATTATCCTTTCCTTCCAAGCAGCCAACTGCCAAGCTAGCCGGCCGCCCGGCCCACCACCGTGATATGGAACAACGCTGGAGTGCGTCATTTGCCTGCGGCAGTGCCCCACCGCGCCGGGGCTGTTTGACAGGTCACCCGCACCGTGCCCTCGCCACCCGTCCCCCCCCTCCCCACCTCCCCACCGGGCTCAGCTCGGTAGTGACCTCTCCTTGAATCTCACATGGACTCGACTGAGGCTCAACGCCATCTAGTTTTGTCTGGAGATCCTTACTAGATCCACTGTACCTGTTCATCCGGTCAACAGCTAGGCCTACTTACAGCTCTCCCCTTCCCCCGTCTCTTATTCTTTTCCTGATAACTAATAACTATACATCGTGTTTGTCTATTTAAGCTTTCGTGTTCGGTGTTTGCTAATAAAATTGTCAAGCCTATTATGGGTTAGTGGCAATGCAATTCTTGTAAGCTTAGTGGAAATGTGTTCAACATGTTTCGTGGATTGCTGGATGGAACGTTAGGAGAACGAGCACTCACAAAAAATGTTAACTTTTTTAAAGACAGGCCCCAGAACAGCGGTGAGCAAACCACCGGATAGGACATGTCACGCCTACCAATCACACAACAACCATCTGTAATCCATCTGTTATAACCATCTGCATGGTCATGTGTCCGCCTCATCGCTCGGTTTGTCGCGATAAGGACAGTAGCTTCAGTGCACGGCCTGGTCGGGCCACTCACCGGAGAGCGTATTGGGTCTGTCGGAGGCCGAGACCGGCGAGCGGTGCGTGCGACGCTGTCGGGTGGCCGGCAGTCGCGCCAGCCGGGGACTGGTTCCGTGCACGGGCCTCCGCCGGGCGGCCGACGGCGTACCTCGACCTGCGGTCACACACGGAATGTCAGCTCCGTCCGGCCCCGTCACAACGCGCCGCAGTAGCTTCAAGGACGGGCGGGTTTAATTCATTAATGAAATCTTTGAACAGAGGACTCAAGAGTTTGGTCTACACAGCGAAAAAGGGTTTAATTTCAATATCGTACCTATATTTTCCAAGCATTGATATTTCATATAATGTGATTCGCTAGTTTGATGTTCTGGTATTTTGAGCATTCAACATATTGGCTTTCGGCAGTGGATATCTCACGATACAGGTACCTATGAATATTGCGAACGTTGATGTTCTGCTTTTCATGTTTGCAATTCGATATTTTGTTATTCGATATCTGTTTAACAGCGAACATTTATCCCCGTAATCGAATTAACATCCTCTGCGTTGCATTATTCAGCAGCCTGACTCACCGCTGGGCAGGCCGCCGCCGTTGCCGCTGACCCCGTAGGTGCTGGTGCTGTCCGTCTCGGCGGTGGCGCAGGGCGGAGGTCGCACTGGCGAGACCCCGCTGTCTCTCCGCCGCTGGAGAACACGCCACAGGTCACTCAGAGTCGGCTCAGGGCCCTATTCCGCGCTGCTGATCGACAATCAGCGAGCTCCATGATCCATCATGCGTGTGAGATCTTCACGACTATTCTCCGGATAACCTACTTGGTGAGAACGGCGGCGGCTCATTGAGCGCCAGAGGGGCGATCGTGATGGCTTACAGAACGCCTGAGTAATCTGCCGGTCACGCAGAGATGACAGAATAGCAAAAAATAAGGGAGTAAAAAACGTTGGCATGTGTCGGCGTGTGTGAAGCTGACTGGGGAAGGCAGACGGTTCGCCACACAGCAGATCCGACGTTGGTGAGACCGTCCCGACATCCGCCAACACCGGGACCGTGATCAGCGGACAGGGGATGTCACCTTCTGACGGGTCCTACACCTGTGCCGTACACGCCACGGCATATCCCGCAGGCACGACCGGCACTTCTGAAAGCCGCCATATACGGTGCCTACATATGGCGGGCATGGGAACCGAATGAAAAGAGGCACAGTGTTGTAGTGCTCTTCCTTGTTTCCAAGTTTTGTTAAGTGGGCCAGTCATGTTATTTAGGAACACGCTACGGAACGAAACAGAGGAAACCCGGCATTACCCCCGCCCCGACCCAGCACGCTATATCATTCCATAAACCAACAAAAAATCCGTGTTCCCTGTAGTCAACAATCAACGATTGTCTCTTATTTCAGCCAATTTTCATTGTGCTCGAGCCATCGCCGCCACCGCACACAGCTGCGCACGAGGTCCATGTGGCCACGTGCAGCGCGCGCACACACATACCTGTATGAGTCCGGCCAGGTGTCCATTGGTCTTCAGTTTGGACCTGCCCGGCACTGGTGTGGGCCCGTGGTGACCGAGCGTGCCGCCGCCGCCGGATACACCGGTCCGACCCGAAGACATGGGTGGCGAACCTGGCGGGAGAGGGCGAGAGGGTCAGAGCCACGCAGCGATACCCAGACGGTCTGAGGAGACGTGTAGTAGACGCACAACTACAGGGTGTCCCAGAAGTCTTGAAGCTTTTTTATTTTTGTCGTGTGACCTTGCTATGCCACCGATTAAGGCGAATCATGCCTCAAACGAAAGAGAAAGAACTGAAATTTTGTATTTTCATGCGTAGAGCACCACTTTAGTCAGGTGGCCCCCGTTGTGAGTCGCACAAGATTGAGCACGAGAGATCACGTTCTTCGCTGCGGCCAAGATCTCCCGGTTTGCGAAACACCGGTGTCGCCATGCCCGTTTCTTGTCAGCTTCAGAGTTTTATTCCCTGAAGCGAGGGACATAATATTAGCGACATATATTTCCGACGGGTTGATATTTGTTTTCGACCCATAATAATGCGACGAATCAAAGGATGACAACGGGCTGTTGCTTAGCGTGCTCAAGCAGCTGAGCCTTATTTCCGTAATGGATGCGTGCAAACATGTCAGGAGACTTTCTGATCAGTAAATCATTATGTTGCTAATGTTTTCTGGGAGATCCAATACTCTGTTTCCTGGCGGCTGGCTCGCTTCATGAAATAAGGCTCTGAAGCTGACCAGAAACGGGCATGGCGACACCGGTGTTTCGCAAACCGGGAGATCTTGGCGGCAGCGAAGAACGTGATCTCTCGTGCTCAATCTTGTGCGACTCACAACGGGGGCCACCTGACTAAAGTGGTGCTCTACGCATGAAAATACAAAATTTCAGTTCATTCTCTTTCGTTTGAGGCGTCATTTGCCTTAATCGGTGGCATAGCAAGGTCACACGACAAAAATAAAAAAGCTTCAAGACTTCTGGGACACCCTGTACCTACATAGATGGCCGGTGCAGACCTCGGCAAAATAACACTGCGTATACTGATCAGTGATCACGAGGCCAATAATTGTCGGCGTATAGGCATAACCTGCCAATGCCTACATTATATGCCGTGCTTATAGCACCCATAGATCCACTTTGGTCCACTCGCTCTCTGAGGATTTCTGCCTCACTACAGTCTACAAGTCACTTCACTGGCTCACTGAGACACACTTCCACTGGCTCACTGTAGCTCGCTTCCAGGGGCCATTCGGCATCCTGACTCGCTCCCATTGGCTCACCATGGCTCTCCACCTGGCCCACTACATTTAAAGGTAGTGTGCCAGCTTTCCTGGACCGTATGGAGTTAATGGCCCAGATAAGGAGAACCGGATTTTTAGAACTTATCCATACCTTCAAAACTCATGGAAACGTCTTAAATTCTTCAAATTTTGAGTACCCCAGTGCGAAATTCGCCCCGACGGGTTGTCGGTCGTACCCCAACCACATTTCACACCACTATGAACAATAAATGCACACACTGAAATCGCTATTACCGATATGCTCATCCAATCAAGTTTCGATAAACCCGTTCGGCGTTCATCATCATCTCCTGCGGTTTCGAACACGCCTGTTAGGTGGTGCGGTAGACCGCGCCCAAAGCCAGGGCCCCGGTAACGTGAGGAAGCCAAGTCGGGGCAGCGTGCGCTGACCCAAGCCGGGGCCGCGCGTCCTCCCGGTGTCATGTGATAGCCCGGGGCTGCCCGCGTGGATGCGGTAGACCGCGCCCAAAGCTGCAGCCCCGGCTTGGGTCAGCGCACGCTGCCCCTACTCGGCTACCTCACGTTACCGGGGCCCTGGCTTTGGGCGCGGCTTCTGCTCATACTTTGTGGTGCGGTGGTGGTGCGTCGGGCCGCGCGCTCTGACTTCGGCCAAGAAAAATGCGTCAGCTGATCATTGTCATTTCTGCTACTTGCGTGTGGTGAAATGGGGTCATAACGAGACGGCTTTTTCATATCAATTATTTTACATAAAATCATATTTCAAACCATAAATAATGTTCGACAGCCAAATAAAAGAAACAATACCAATACAGGCCTACAGTTTAAGGCTCAACATTGTGTTGTCTACGATTAGACAGCTGATAACTCATTCCCGTACGTCGTAACTCTATAATGACCTTCGCTTATTGTCACATGTGCGCCGCATTCGCGATTGTTGCCAACGCCTTGCCGACGCCTGTTTGCAGGTCAGCCCACTACAGTTGTTATACATATCGAAAAACCGATAAACTTTTAGGCGAAAAAGGCACTATTCCAGGCCCATTTTCGATTTTTTTGCGATATTAGGTAAAAACAGAAGCTTCTTATCCTAGGAAAAATAAAATGGAAAATCTTTCAAAGGTGGCACACTACCTTTAAGTTCAACTGACTCACCACGGCTCGCTCCATTAGCCCACCACGGCTCGCTCCATCTGGCTCACTACGGGTCACGTCCGCCGCAGAGTGCCCTGGGGCGGTCCTCGGGCCGAACCGCGCCCGGTACTGGCCACTGGGTCGGCCCGCGGCCGGGCCGGACCAGCTACACCGAGACGCAGACTGACTACAAAACAGTGGGCGGCTGACGCGGGCGGTGGGTGGGTACTCGCGCACCGCGCACACAGCCGTCCAAACGGAGAATATAATCTCCATACTTAATGCATGACATCATGTACCCCGCCGGGAGATGTGTTATATCCCAACACAACACCATTCCGCTGACAAAGCCAGACAAATGCCTAAATTGTGCGGCTGCGAGGCGGCCTGATACTGCGGCGGCGTCCGTCCCGTACCGCGGAGGATGACTGGACGGGCCGCTCGCTAATGAGCGAGAGCGCGCCGGTCGGCGGCCGACGCGTCCTCCCCAATCAGCATTCCAGCCGGGGTGCCCGGACAAAGGCGGCCGACCACGACTGAGACGGCCGCCGGCCGGGCGCACACCGGAGCCCGCGGCGGCGAGGCGATACACGCGGCATGCGGACAACTCAACGAGCTTCCTAGGAGAGACGGAGACTCAGGTCTCGGCTACCGATAAACGAGATAGTAAGAGCACTACTGAATAACGCAGTTATCTGATATAATATTTTCTCAGTCATTCGTAATAGGTACAGCCAAAGCCCTAAATATTTTTTTTTTAGAAAAGGTTTGGGTTTATTCAAACAATTACCTTATGAAGCGTTTTCAGGTCAGGATGATCAACGAGCTCTTTCTCGCGCTGCCTGAACCACATCTTACTCGTACATGACAAAGGTACGATAAAATATTAAAGGGCGAGTATGAGTCACGTTTAGATGATAGCCGTTTATTGGCATGCTCCACACTGCGGCATGCATCTCACGTTCATCAGTAAACGGTGAACCGCGTTTCACTATGAGGCGGTGAGCAATGGAACCATATATGCACATTAAAAGTAACGAAATTCGCCGACGAAGATGATATTAATCTAATCGCAATCACAAAATGTTTAATAGTTAGAAGCGGTTGCATAAGATTGTGTAATTGGTTTGTGTTTATGGCTCGCAGCTTGGCGTGTGTTGAACTAGCTTTACAGCTAGCGTTTTTAGCAGTGCTTTATGTCGCTGTGAGTTTACAATGGAAACAGTAGACTCAACTAAAAAGTAAGAAACAATGGCACTACGCTATTGTGACAATGAGCTTCACGTTATCAATGACTTTAAGCTTCTGTCGTTGTTACGCCTGATAATCTTATTCTTTAAATGGTCTCGACTGTCGACCCCAATGGACTGCCGACTGTTAAAAGCATTCATAGCCTGTGGTGCATGCAACATGTAAAAATCGTTACCGACTAACAATATGATGAACAAAAGGAGACAACTTTCATGTTTGACGCTCGTGCAATAGCACCGGGGTGTTAGCATGAGGGCCATGGTTGCATTCATCTCCGGGCTGTGTTTTAGAGACAGCCTTGCAGGAGGCTGGCTGCAGCTGAGCCGGATGTTTGAACGGCCTCCGGTGTATGTACTGCCAGCTGAGCCACCCCAAATAAGGAGCCAGCGGCTGCCAGCGCCGGCGCCGCTCCGAGGCGCGCCGCTGCGGTCAGCTCGGCCGCATGGCACATGGTAACCCGCTCCGGGTGTCCTCGGTCCTTCAAAACTGTGACCTCGGATCTCCGGACCGGCTTTCTCTCTCAGTGGGATATTGTGTCAGTCTTCGATCGTGTCTCCGGCGAAGTCAGGGGCTGCCCCTGTCTTCTGGTGTTCTGTTTCTGCACGTTCAAGACCTGTGCGGTTGTCGATGGGAGTGTCCCCCCAGCTCCCAGCTGCCGAGTCACCGGACGTGGCTCCCCCACTCAGACAGGGTCTCGGTATCAGGCGCCGGCCTGTCGCGACGCTATCGTGTCTCGGATTTAACGGGGAGGGGGTCGTTCACGTGCACCCGTGCAAGGCGGATGACACCGGCAGTGCGCGCGCGGCAGATGCCGGCTCCCCACGACAGGTCAGCGACACGTCGGCGGCAGTAAGGGACGGCCGGGTCACGGCTCGGCCAGCTGCATTGGCCACCGGCCACCGGCCCGGCACCTGCACTCTGTAAACTGCCGTGTCAGCGGCCGCTAGCCTGGCACATACGACTTGCTTCATCGATTGTCTCGTGCCAGAACAGGTGGCTGAGCCTGAGCGTCGCCCTGGGTGGCGCAGTAGTCACTAGGACGGAGCAGCTGGCTGAGAACCCAAAGGTGTGGCTCACCCGGTCTGGCTCATTCGGGACCGGACGATCCGTTGTGCAGCTTACTTTGGGCAGGACAGTTGTCTGAGGTGCGGCCCACTCGAGACAAGACAGCTGGCTGTGTGAGAAACAGGCCCCATGGTTCCTCTCACAGACTGAGAACCAAACGATGCAGCTGACTGAACGGGACGGTTCACTGAGTGCTGCGACCGAATCCCATGTAAATGTTGGATTTACTCATGCATACACCAATGGATCTTTCCATGTCGTTCCGCTGTGCAGCACTCACGGTCGGCGGCCAGGCAGGCCGGACAGCTGCGGCAGCCGGTCATGCAGCTGTAGCAGCGCTCGTGGCCGCAGGAGTCGGTGATCTTGCGCCGCAGCACCTGGTCGAACGGGCTGCCGCACACCGGGCACGAGTCGCCCACGGGAGACGCCAAGTGGCGATACACGCCGGCACCTGAAAAAAGGAGAGATAGCGACGCGGTCAATGACGGTATCGCCCGGTCAAGTGGCATCGAAAAACGGTCATCGATCTCAGCAGAGGGAAAAACGTTCCTAGCAGTAGCACAACTAGCCAACTAATCGCCGATATCATAACATCCATAGCTGAATTTTATTCTACCTGAGCGGTAAATAGCTATAGTTAACAAATAGTATTATAAAAGTGCACGCCATTCCTCAGTCATCATATTGCATGAGGACGAGGTGAAAGCTTCCAGAAGACCGCAGTTTTGCTGAAGGTGAGGGAAACCGATCGAGCGGCAGTAGAAAGTACACGCATCAATGCATCATCGAAGCAACAAACAGGAAAGAAGCACCTGCAACACTGCTGGCTGTCCCATGTTTCATGCTTCCCGGATACTTTTACAGAGCAACTAGAACTAGCCTTACAAACATAACCAGATCTATCCAGCCGTCGCCTCATCAGTAACTTTTCCTTCCTTTGCGTAATGTCACTGAGAAATGAATGAATCAATGAGTGAATGAATTAAAATACATTCAAGTTACTAAACGGCATTCTTTTACCGAAGTCTGCGCCGATGTTCGTCAGCGACGGCCGTCGAGCATCATTATCTTTCGACGACATACCTACACCTGCCAAAAAGCATCCCAGCACCACAAAATTCACCGTCACCGGCTATGAGCCGCTTCTCAGCACACATTACACAACTCCCTTCGAATGGTGGCCCGTCAACTGTCAAGTGTGCAAAATATTCCTTCCTATCCGATAAATCTACCACTTGAAAATAAAGATAACAGCGAGAAAACCCGATAGTATTATCGGCATTTAAACATCCGTTTATTCGGTCTGATGGTCCGCGTGAAGCCGGAAAGATGGGCAGAGGGCTGAACAAAATACAGGTTCCTTTATGTACCAAGGACTGCACGTCATTATCGACTGTGCTGGCTCCTTCCGTGCAGCACGGGCGCCGCTGCGGGGTAGCCGGGGTAGCCCACGGCGGACGGTCCTTGACGGGCTGCTAGCGCGGCCGAGAGCCCGCCTGCCCAGCCAGCAGAGCTGATGGGCCCGTGGATCGCCCTGCGGCCGCCCGGCTCGTCCAGACGCGACTCCACAAGGAAAACCAGCACCATCCGGCACCACTGCACTAATCCGGTCCGGTGGCCGCCAAATATGGCCGCCGGCGCCCCCCCCCCCCCCCCGGCGTACGTTCGGGCCCTTCGAACCGACCGCCGACAGGCCAGAACCCGTTCCCGACCACGTCAGCTTTGGGAATCTACCGAGATATGCGCCCCGCTCGTATCAGTGAGTCAGCCCGGCCGGGAAAGCTGAAAACGTCCCTGGCCCTGCTGGCGGTACCATAACATGGTGCTCGGCCGGTAAAGTCCTCCGGCCATGTAAGCACTACGAGCTGCCACGTAAGGTGTGACGGGTTCCACCGGTTCCCTTTCAGGGAGGCGTTACGGTATGTTCTTCACTTTGGGAGGTGTGTCAATGGTTGGACCGAGACCACCATTCCAGAAGGGACCACGGGCCACGCTGGCTAGGGAAGTGCCGTGGGCTCGGTTGGGTTCCTCCTGCTCAGGGAGGCGATTTCCCCAAGTGTCCGGCCTCGGCGTGAGACCAACGGCCAGCACCTGCACGGTTGTAACTGCCACAAAATCGGAGCGGTAGTGGCTGATTCAAATTTTGAATGGGTCAAGGGAACCAACCTTGAGCTGGAGGCAAATGACAGTTGGGCCGTGGGCGGCAGGCGCTGTATTGTCATACCTGTAGATAGCATGCAATGCATTTGTGGAATGACTAGAGACACACAGTAGGTCTAAGAAGTAGATTACCTTCTGTTCAGAGCAAAACTTTGCCGCTAAGGAGATAATTCGAACCTCTGCTGACCAGGAATCGGGCGGCGCCGAGCATTCTTGCAGGACTGTCCCATCCATTCCGTCTTATCGGCGCAGTAAACCGCGTTACGGGTCTGAGCATTGGCTGTCGATTGATGGCCAACCACGGTACCTACAGATTTTACATACGCCGTGCAAGGTGACTAATATGTATTACAATTTACACGGTTTATCATCACACTGTGAATGAAGGAAGGAAGGCGTCCCATACAAACATTTTGAAACTTCCGAGACACTCCGGTGGCAAAAACGTTGATTTGACGGCATTGTGCTGGGTATTCTAGATAGTGATATCTGCGTTATAGTTGTCGAACATCTTTTTGCGTGACCGGCTGGCCCGACTACTTTTCCGGGCCGCAGTTTCGACTAGTTCGAGGTCACCCACCCACCCGACATCCACATCGACACACGCGGCTATGAACCAAGGTGCGTGGATTAGACTTGCCATTTCACGCATCGAAATGAGCTTTTTACATATTCATTACCCTGACCCGACGAACAAACACAATAATCCACCTGTGATTTTGCCTCGTGTTCTAATTTAACTATGCTCATGTGATGCGACACATTCTGTTTGCATATGACGGATTTATTGCTCAAACTTTAACCACTTTGCCGGTACATGAGGCACAGACCTGCAACGCTTTTACCAGTGCGTCTAGACATACAGATTAATTACGATATTGCTGGCCATAGGCGGCGGAACGGGAAGGGCACCGGGGCACCGTGCCCCCCTTTGATTTTGGCATTTTAACATTAGCCCTATGGGCGCTGCATGGAAAGAATGGGACCAAAAGTCGGCAGTGCCACCCCCCCCCCCCCCCTTAATGGAAGGTGTTCCGTCGCTTCTGTTGCTGGCTTTACACATGCGCGTGCTTAATTTGTCAAGCGGAAATGATACAATTATTACACGATATAGTTTACGCATGATAAAATAAGTCCCGTCCAGAATCGCTCAGCAAGTTTATCGAATCTGACTGATCAGCGAATATCGTTGACGTATAAAACTTGACCAAAGGCTTGGAGTTTGGTGTTTCCTGAGGCTTGGAGTGTTTCCTGCTGGCTGCTGAAGCGCCCTGTCCGTATTTAATTTCTCGTTTAAATTAGTAAGGCTACCGATCCGCCTAAGTTATATGCTCCGTTTTTTTTTTTTTTTTGCTAAAAAAATATCCGGTCAATCATCAACCCTCAGCTCGCCACCGAATGGGCCACGGGCCGGCCCGGGTATTGTCCGAGAGCTCGAGATCCGTACCACCTACCTTGGTATTTAGCGCTGGCCATTCCCATGGAGGGAGGCGGCGGCACAGGGGGTCTCCGATCGCCACAGTGTTTCATCTCCGCGCGCGCCGCCAGCACTTCACCCATCACACACCGTCCTCACTCAGCACAGGTGACCTGACGCCGGCCGACGGGTCACCGCGCCGCGCAGCACCGTCCACCGGCCCGCCGCCGCACCAGCGCGCCGCGCTGAACAGACAGGCCTGCCGGTACGCGGTCCATTGAGACGGGCCGCCGGCGCACCTCACAGTACCACCTCTGACACGCCGGTCCGAGCACCGTCTTCACTCGTAACCACAATCGCGGCCGCTGGACTCACCTGTCCACAATAGAGCCGCACAGGTGGGGTGAGATTGCCCGCTGTTTTCCCGTGTAGTGCAGAGGGGAGACCCAACTTCGGGAAAATGGATCGGAATGCTCGCGGTGACGGGCAGGTAGTCGGCCGTCTGCTCGGGGGTCCCCTGTCAGCCACTGTACGCCAGGTAGCCCACTACACCTGGTGACGTCACGCATCTTGGTGTGACGTCACGGCGCGCCGGCCGTTCGGACCGTGCCGTTGAGGCGGCAACCTGTGAATCGCCCGATGGGTTGGCGGCCGGCAGACACGACCGGGCGCCTTGTAAGGTGTGCGCCGGCTGTTGGGCCCGCCCGGCCGGGGTGGAGACGGTGGCTGGACCCGGAAACGGGCTGGGCGCAGGGCGGATGGTGACGTGATCGTCGCCCCCTCCGTGGATGGAGACGGGACCATCAATGGGCTGAGCGCTGACCGGAGGTCACGGCGCGCCGACCTCCGGTCAGCGCGCCGTGATACAGGTGCTGATCTCATTTTAGAAGTCTCTCATCACTGACGCTGAATGATTGAAACAGTTAACAACTTAACACTACAGCATGGCTCATTTGACCACCTTTCAACGAAATCTTCACTTTCAGGACATCTGTTCAAAGGTGAAAACTTGTCATGAATCTTTGATATCACATTCGGTTGCATTCACAAGAAAGAGAACATTTCTAAATTCCGATAGCAAATGCTAACACTACTCATACCAGCATGATAGATGCTCTTCCACACATATTTGAGTCAGTCTCCTCGATGAAGGCAGCGGCTGGCCACTGTCTGTACCGGGTCAGGTGGGGGAGGGCGACAGAGGGAGGGGGAGGGCGACAGTGGGGGCGGGGAGGGTCGCCCAGTGTCGGGACGCCGGGAGCCGGTCAGCAGACGCGTTCTCCACAGAGGCACCTGCACTGCCGCCGGCATCTCTATCTAATCGACGCCGAGACGAGGTCCCAAGGCCAGCCCAACGCTCACCTAGTCGAGGCGCGGAGAGAGAGAGAGAGAGAGAGAGAGAGAGAGAGAGAGAGAGAGAGAGAGAGAGAGAGAGAGAGGGACGCATTCCCGTCATTCAATAGGCATTTCAGATCCAAATGATAAGATGCTGTTTTGGCTCTCCCGCGTGAGAACTAACTACGAAGAAGTAAGGACCAGTGCGAGCAGGTTTTCACTTCACTTGCTTCATTTAAAAAGTAGGTATGTCGTTCATATTGGAGCCCTGACCTCCCGCATAAGCTGCGAGGTACGAGTACGACTGTTCTGTTTATAATTGTAGGTGCTGCTAACACAGTTCAGAGACATGAGTACTTGGTCGGCAGATGTGCACTTGCTTGTATAGGCGATGTGTACCCTGGGCCCAATCTTACCAAATGCCGTGAATGCGCATTCACGGCATTTGGTAACATTCAGAACTATTCCACACTCACATATTCATTCGTTCTGGCGACATTCATTAAGCATTCACGCTATCAAAATCATTGGACAAGATTACCTGGAGGTAAATAAAAAGGACATCTTTGCTATCAGTGCCGTAAACTCCGGCCAGTGCTGGCAAATCCTATTCACGGCATTGGTAAGATTGGGCCCTGGTGTATTTATACATATGTCGAGCACTGGCAGATCCAGGGGGAGCACTTAGGGGCTAGGGCCCCCCGCAGCGCCCGAAATTGACGAAATGCTGTGCTTGTTTAGAATAAAACGAAAGCTTAACAAATTTTATTAGAAAAAATGTTTAAACTGCACAACAGTAAGTACGGAATCGAAATCCTATGTTTTTTTTTTAACTTAGAGAAGCTTGTTGGGCATGCCCCCCCCCCCCGCAGCGCCAGTGCTGTCTGGTGAATGGTGATGCCCAATGTGTGTAAACTGCGGCTGGAGGCGATCATTGCTTTACTAGCGAGCATTGTAGATGTAGGGGAGAGTGGGGTAAGATGCCCAGGGTGGGAAAGACGCCCCACCCCCTCTAGCGGCGAAACAAAGAATCGAACCTGGAAATTAATGTTCGTAGCATAAAGCGGAAGCCTGCCTTGTTAACTGCACAAAAATTTGCGAAGCTCAGTTGGGCAACGGCTGACTGGTGATTGCATGTTTTTTATTTGCTGCTTTCAAAAAATATTTTGGTGTCAAAACATTGTAAATATCAAAGAAGGTAGATAATTTTTGCGTCCCTTGCTATAGTCGTGATACATTAACATGTGTGTACTGTGTCCCAGTTTGTTTCAGGATGTAGTTTTATGGCTAACAAAGTGTACTGATTTAATGTTACTTCGGTACCTTGGGGTAAGATGCCCCCTGTCCTGATGGGGAAAGACGCCCCCCTAAATCTGTAGGCTGTCCTTCAAGCAGCCCGTCAAATCATTTATTACATACTTGTGATGAGAGACAAAAGCCGATCTGGGACTACTGAGAGTCCAGTACGGTCGGGTGCTCCCCATGCCGGTCTCTCGGCACACACAGCGACTTTTTGGGCGGCATCTGACTCTGAGAGCCCTCACGACGGCCTCTGTGGGCCCCATTATAGGCTCCAGGGCCCCTCACGACATCCTTTGAGGGCTCTCACGTTGGCTCCACGGGCCGCGCTGGCATCTGAGGTCCCCACGATGGGCTCGAGGGCCCTCAAGCATCATGAAGACCTATAAGGGCCCCACAGTGGTCTCCAAACGCCACCACGGAGGCTTGTTTGGCCGCGCTGGACTATGATGGCCCTAACGATGACCTCTGAAGCCCCTTACGACTACTTTTGAGGGCCCTTACGATGACGTTTGGTGTCTACTGCAGGTTCGAAGGGACTACTGATTCGTTCAGGCGATTCACGTGTCCATTTATGTCACTATAGTGCAGGGGGCATCTTCCCCAACGCCAGGGGGCGTCTTTCCCACCCTGTGGGGTAAGATGCCCCCTTTCACTTCTTCAGGAAAATGCTTAATAGCAAAAAAGTTATCATATTTCAAGCACGAAAGTGTGATATTTTTGGAGAAAAATTATGTCGGCTTCCGTTGAAACTCCAAGTTTTTGCTTTCCGATCTTCATTTTCGAACAATATATGACATAGTAAAACCCTGGGCATCTTTCCCCACTCTCCCCTATGTATATTGCTTGCGCATGCTGCATGCATAACTTAGGTAATGACACATTAACGTTGCACATTATAATCGTCCAGATATCAACATTTCCCATCTGACAATAGCATTTACATGTTGTCCTTTTGATCATGGAGCAATCTTCTGACAAGCCAATTGTGCAACAGCTCCTTTACTGTCGATTCAAACGTGCAAACAGACTCGGATAGTCGTGCAATATGCAAAGATACAACAGACAATCCATGTTCGTTCCGTCCGCTCCTGCACTTCGGTGAGTGAATGAAACCATTGATGTAGCTATCTATATGAATGATTACGTAAGTACTTACACACATACCACTTACCCATGTGAAGAGGACTGACGTCTGTCAGACTTTAATGTTGGCCTTCGATGGGCCGGTGCTCAGATACCCAAGCATACAGCGGAGCTTTGTAATCTTGTTCACTTCATACCTGAGCATTGGCAGAATAGTCAATATGGCACACACGAGCACGAATACACTAACCTAAAACATTTATGCAAACACGTAACCTGCAACACGCGGTCGCAAGAACGCAAATACCCTTGCCGAAAATCTGCAAAAGCACTATGAGCAAAGATAAGGCGATCGATAATAAAACTTAGGTAGCAATCAGAGAACGAATCAGCAGTAGCGGCGAAACACTTTCATGTAAGGGGGGGGGGGGCACCGCCAACTTTTGGTCCCATTCTTTCCATGCAACGCCCATAGGGCTAATATTAAAACCGTAAAACGCCAAAATCAAAGGGTCACGGTGCCCCCGTGCCCTCCCCGTTCCGCCGCCTATGTGAATCAGCACCCATGTTCATGTTTTACTTGTAAGAAAACTCGCGCACACTGCAAAGAGATAGGTAGGCTAGGTATGGAGTGCCCAACTGGATGAACTACCAAAGCATAGTCACCGCTACACTTGCCGGCACTGTAAGTCGCCAATTGCAGAAGCATGCTCGCCGCGGCGTTTACGAGTGGCGGCCGGCCGACTGACCCGACCCTGACCCGTCCGTGCCCTGGCCGCGGGGCAGAGCAGCGCGAGCGGCGGCTGCTGCTGGGACGCCGCCGGCGGCATCTGGACAGACTATCTGATAGACATCGTGACTGGCGCTGCAACCTTCCCCGGCTCCACTATGGTGCAACAGCTCGCCCCAGCGAGGCCGGTGGCCCCGGGGCAAACGGTGACTCAGGTATCATCTACTGGGCTGGGTCGGCAACGTATAGACCGAGTGCTGGGCTGGGTCGGCGACGTGGACCGATAGCTGGGTTTTGCTGACCGATCGCTGGGCGCTGGGACCAACTGCTGGGCTGACTGTTGTGCTGATTCGCCTGCTGGACTGAGCCTTCAGTGCCTTTAGTGCCCTTTAGTGACTCTTTAGTGCCCTGGGCTGAGCTAGGATCGACTGTCAGACTGAGCTGGGACAGAAAACTTAACTTTATCGGCAGCGCCACGGGATGGGTCATCTGGACAAGTGTTGACTTGGAGACATCCCCCGAGCGGTGCTTCTATTTATGACGGGCGAATGCAAGTACGTGCTTCTTTGCAACCCTAATACGGACACTGTAGCCAAGGGACAACACTGGCGAATAATGCGGTTATCATCTATTTAGCATTCTAGCAATATGGAAATCGGCAGCACCATAGCGGCGAATCATTTTTCGGTTTGGTTTCCGGCTGATTTCCAATGCAGGACTACTCGTCTAGAGAGGGCATGGGCCCCGGGGCGGCGCCATAAGTGGTGGCGTCAAGGCTGGCCGGCCGTGTCCGACTGCCCCGTCCCCCTCAGGA